AAAAAAACTATTCATTCTTACATTTTTTCCCTTCATTTTCAAGAACTTTCTTCTTCATTTCAAGCACACGATGCATTAGTATTGTCCATAATTGAATATTTTAGCTTACTTCTTGACTCCAACTTAATCGTTGCTTTCACCTCAATATCTCTGCTTTTTTTGACCAGCACCTCAATATCTCTGCTGCAATATTAAACAACATTTTTCGTGACGTTTGGAGAAATATAAGGTCTTAACGTTGGAAATGCTTCCGATACTAAAATTCTAGAAAGAAATGATCTCTCTCTCTCTCTCTCTCTCTCTCATTTTTCTTTAATTTAGTAAGAATAGAAATCCGTTACATTCGTCCAAGAGTTGCAGGAGAGATTCCTCGCCTGCGCTGGCGTGAGGGGGATGAGGAAGGGAAGTCGGGCTACTGTGGCAGGAGAGAGAAAGGGTGAAAATGATGGAGGAAATGATGAGATCTTTTTTCAGGATTTTTCTTTATTGCATTTTTCTTATTTTTATCTATTTTTTTATATAGTTTTTATTATAAATTTTTATATTTCATGTATAGTTAGTTTTAAATTAAAAAATAAAAAAATTCAAAAAAAAGATGAGATGTCCCTTTCCTGTATCTTGCTGATTATCAGGACATGAGCACCCCTAACTATCATATTTACAAGACTGCAACCTAGTTCGACCGCTAATCCCAGCATTCATTTTTTTTATTTTATTAATTATCATAATTATATGTTAAATTTCATTTAATTTTTTTAAAAAAATGTCTATTATCATTTGTTTGGTGTTTTGAATCAAATATTTTAAATAAAAATAAGGATTTTATTATATTTTTTACGTTATATAAGAAAAACTTGAAAAAAGATCATTTTTTTAAAAAAAAAGTAAATACATGTGGCAGGCTCAGGTTGATTTGTCATAGAAGACACTGAGGTGGAACAATAACGGAGCAGCTCAAAACCATACTTTCATATATTTGTGTGCATGAAAACCAAAAAGATTAGAAATTCTAGAAGACCTTTGTGACTTGGAGTGAGAAAAGAGAAAGTGGGAAGAAATGGCTTGACTTTCATTAATGATATATTATTTCTGGTTCTAATTATAAGATCTTCTTTATCTCATTTGTAGTACAAATAAAATCTTATAATTAGAACTGAATGTAGTATGATGGTATATATACATAATAGTTTAGATATAACTGAATAACAAACTTTACAATTCAACTTAACTTAACAGAATGTTAATCTCGATCCTACACTTGTCAACCTTTATGATGGCAAAATTGGCAATCTTGTGTTTGATTAAAGTATAATATGCAAGGCATTTTGATTCTATAACAGTATCATCTGCAAATTGCTATATACAAGCCCAGTCTCTTTGCTGCTGCAAATCAATGGTAACCAATAGTAAATAATTAAAGTATGTTTAAGCTCAAGACACTCGTTTAAAATAATTATTATTAAATGCACACTCCTGGTCAAATAATGCATGCATGGAAGCTCAATTCTTCAAATAATGCATGCATGGAAGCTCAAGTCTTTTTAATGACTATCCTCTTGCAAACACAAGGACAACATTATTAGAAACTTGTTTGATGCTCACTAGATACCGTTTTAACATATCCTGGCGAAATTCAAATATGCTATCCCAATCCTTAACATAAAAATTAGTTGACTAATTTGAGTAGATTAAGAAAACTAGCTAAGTTAGTTATTTGTAATACATAGGTGTATCTTTTCTAAAATATTTTTGCTAATAAAATATATTGGCTAGAACTACTATTATTACAAGGACTATTTTTTTAAAAAAAAATGAAAGACAAAGTAAATTGGGATCTTATTCTTAATACCACAATAAAAATCAAACAAGCTCTTATATATATATATATATATATATATATATTAAGTACTGGAACTAGTATTAAGTATCGAAAGTAATTTATTTAGTTTCTTTGATAGGTCAAAGCCAGATACATAGTTATTACATTCATTCATAGAAAAATATTTGAATGTGTGTTTTGCAAGCGGCCATCCAAAAACATGCTAAAGTAGTTTCTACCTCAAGTAGTCTATTTTTTTTTTGGAAAAAAATTTGTTTGGTCTTTTACTTTGACCCATTCACACCTTTTGATTGTTGTGATTGAAATTTCAGTTGTTTGGTGTCTTTATTTAACACCTGGCGTGCATGAGAGATTGCAAGTTAAAATAATTCTCTTGATATTCTTTTTTTTGAATTAAGTAAATTACCTCTCTTCTTGTGAATATTTAGAGCATAATAGAAAGTTAAAAACTGCACATCTATATATAATGGGCTGCATTCTGGCCATTAGATATTAAAAATGAGTATATATGGAGAAATGAACATAAAAGGATATATGGAGCATAACTGGATTCGTGACCAATCCCTTAGTCTTGCACACCCTTTGTTACTACCTCCGGTCCTAATTATAGATTTTATTTGTAGACTATAAATAAGGTTTTATAATTAGAACTGAAGCTAATATTACAAATTTAATACCAAAAGCATAGTAATTAACTACTTCAAGAAACTTAACAACATTGGTATACTTGAAGGGTCCATTTTGGTTCATCCTCCGTACAGCTCAATATAATTATCAAGCCTTTAAAAGCAACATGTGTGGAATCCAGAGTAGTGAATCTTGTACAACCTTGCATTTTCTTGTATTTGTTGAACATGTTTTTTCGCCCTACAACCTTGATCATTCCTGTATATGCACCGATAGTATTTTCTGCCGATAAAATCCCATATATAGGAATCCATGAGTTGTTTAAATGTTTATAAATTTCACATTAACACCCAACTTACATAAATAAAAGCTGAACTAGCGGGGAGCAATAAATTAAAGTAGATAGGTTTATTATCCCAGAAAAAACTTGCATTTATACAAGTCAATATAACCCTTTAATTTGTACGTACAGTTTATGAAATTACCTTGGGTGCGTGCAATTGAGGATCGTCTTCTCACCATACTCCCTCCATTCATGAAAATCTTTTGCACTCGGTAATATCACCGTCCATGTTGGTTGAATATTTCTGCAACAGATTCATCGTACAATCAGATTATGCTTTGATATTTTAAGAAAAGCAATAGGAAAATCTACAAATGATTCTGCGTAATAATACCCAAAAGGCCAAAACACGAGCGCGCGCGCACTTGTTACCTGGGGTTTGTGTGCTCGTCTTTTCCCAGAAACAGCTGGTCTATATGACCCTCTATAACTTGGACTCCGAAATCTCCAGTTTCGACATCACTTAGGAACTTGATCATGAAATTCTCATAGGCAAGCAGCATAGTTCTCCTCAGTGAAGTCGTAATGACGTTTCTAAGGTGGTCATCAAAGATAACCCATGGAGACTGGTTCTCATACAAATCTTCTCAAACTGCAACTTAAAGAGCTCAAACCTGTCTCTGGCAAGTTGGGATTGAACAAGTGTCCCCTCAGAGTCCATAATGTTCAACAGTTCAAGCACTCTATCCCATGAACTTCACTGGTAAGTCTCACGGTATTGGTTCACCTTTAAAATGTGTTTGTGCATCCAATGGCCACCTAACAGGTCTGCAAGTTCACTGTTCATGGCATTTTGAACTATGTATCTTATATTGTTCATCATGAAAAAAGAGCACAGAGCTGGGTCATTATCATAGATCTTAGAGTTAGCCTCCAGATTGGTCTCCAGCAAATCCACAATCCGAAGCATTTGCTCAGATAAAGAGGGAGACGAGCACGATGATGGCAGCGATGAACCACGGGTGCCCTCGAAAGCTCTTTCGAGTTGCTGCCGACATTGACAAGCAGCTCTTAGGTAGTTCATTACATAACGGTTTGTCGGATGAAGCCTGGCTCTTGCTAGCTGCGTGCCATGGAATGAAAATATTATGGGCATATATAATAACTAGTATTTAATTATTTAAGAGCTTAGGTATTTTTTTGAGGTGCATCAACATTAACTAGAAATCAGTTTCAATACTCGTCATCTTGATGAGCATTCTAAACTCATCAGATCTCGATCGTATATATCTTATTTGAATAGTTCAAATTTAAAATATTTAATTAATTATTTTTAAATAGAAAAAATTATTTTATGAAAGAACGATAGTTAAGAGATTATTTATATTTTAAATTATATACATATTAAAATAATTATTTTGAATAAATAAAAATAAAAAAATTAAATCTAAATCATTCAAATAAAATATAGATGATTCAGATATGATGAGATGAATTTAGGTTTAATTCCCATTAAATTTTGCGTAGGCAAGTTTGATTCCTAATGCATTTAAACTTCGGCAAAAATGCCGATGATATTCCTCCACCCAATTCTTCCCTCTCACAACCAACCTCACCGTCTCACAATTTCGCGGCGATGATTTGATCAGATCGGATTGTACGTGATCCTCGAAGCAGTAGCCGATCGAGTAGAGATGGATGGACCACAACATTGGCGAGCAGCGGGACAACTGGAACACCCGCCTCCTCAACTCCATCACCCTCGCCGGATCTACCCTGGCTCCGGCTTTCAAGACACAGCTGGCGGAGGAGCAACTCAACACTACGGGGCTCTTCTGGAAGCTCCAGAACGAGATGGAGATGAAGCTCTCACGATCGGAATTAAAAGTCAGCGACAAGGACGTTAAGGACACGATGGCCAAGGTTCTGGCTCTTCATAAAGCTTACCAACGTCCTCTTTTGGGAGCAGTGATGGGAAAATTTCCAACAAGTTCGAGTTTGCAACTTGGTGGCCATCTTATTCATCAAAGAGAACCGCCTTAAGATCGAAGGAAGCGAAGAACGAATAGAGTGAGGGACTAGAGATGGAAACAAGAGATGATGGGAGAAGCTCGTAATTTTACGCGTCATTATATGAAGCATATAATTTCATAAAGTGAAAAAATGATCAGAACGGGTAAATGCAAATCAGGCATGGAGACTCGTGTGTATTTACCTTTGCCGAGTCTTGAAGAATCAGATTCTCTAGCTCTATGAAGACCCTTTGATTGCTTCTCCGAGTCTTTTACTCGCTGCGATAGCTTCATCGTGGAGAAACTCACAAATCTTATTACGGAACAGTGATTCCATGTCAGGCAAAATCTCCTCCAATGTGTCCAAAACGTCGACAATTCTGAACAAACGCTCCGGCGACAGCGTTGTGGTCGAAACGGCTTTGGCGTAATTCAATAGCTGTGTCGTTATTCCCCGACAAACTTCCATGAAGGACAGTTCGTCCCGAAGAGAGAGCGCCGAGAAGACGACACTGCAGGCATGCCGTTCCTGAGGAAACAGCGTCTTAACGACGAAGTGACAAGCTTTTGTCCATTCTTGGATGTCGTTTTTGAGAGTTTTCATCGGCAACCTGTGGACTTCATTGATGCTGAGATTTTGAAACCCGGTAGTAGTCATCTTGTCGTTTAAGAACTGTTTTCGCCAAGTGACAAAAGCGTCGTAACACTCTTCAACTAACCCAGATGCGATTGCGTCCTTTTGTTTGGACTCAAAATCTGAAGGGTAAACGAGTCTCTCAGGATTTTCTTTGTCATTCACAATTCCCAGCTGAGTGGAACACAATTGTTTTCGGAGATCGGAAGCAGGAGTATCAATTTTTATTGCCCCGTTCTCCTGGAGGGCAGTAGTACAACTAACAGTCTCCAATGGAGAATCTAAACTCCAAGGAATTAGAACGATGGCAAGGTAACATAAAGCTGCTCCGATCAAAGTGAGAAGCAAGTTGATCTTCATGAGTTGGACGGTGAGAAAACCCAGGAAAAATTTGAGAAGATCATCCTCGAATCCAAGTTGAATATTCTGCATTTTCAAGCTTAAAGACGTGAAAGTAAATGAACCACTAGAAACGACGCTGAACACGTCCGATTTTATCTTCATGAATTGGTCATAGAAATAAGAGTAGAGGGAGGTAAGGAACAAGACCAGAAATGCTACGTGATATCCGAAAAATAAATTCCGAGGAGGTTTCCATGTCTTCGCAAACAAGCTCTTGTAGGGGACGATGATACTCAAAAGAACATACAGAAGAGTCTTCCAAGTGTTAAGCTCTCCAAATATGAAGTGAAAAGATGAACTCAGAAGATAAGATAACAGCCCGATGATGGCCGATAGGAACCCCAGGTTTCTCCAGAAGTTGACCTCGGTTGCGTCCGGGATTCGACAATATTGTTCAACATATCCATGCAAACAAAGGAAAGAACTTTTAAATTCCCATCAAAATGGAATTTCTTTTCTGCATGATTCTCTCTCTGGGTTTTCGACTCTTCCATTGATGGAAGTTTATATGGCAAAAACAAGTTTTACCAACATCCGTTCGGCCTGGTATGAGGCAAGCTGAGCTGACTATGACACAGCTGTACATTTCTGAGGTTACAAGAGCACAACTGTGTTTTAATGGACTTTGATTATCCAAGTTAGATGCTTGAAAAGTGTTCTAAAGAGAAAGAAAGATGAAGAGAGAAAAGAGAGAGTTGGTGGAAAAAGAAGAAATGTTGCGCCTGAATACTCAAAACCCAAGGCCCTATGTTGCATTCCCTTCGAAAGCTTTACAACTTCAGTAACATGATTGATCTCATTCTAAGGCACACAAACAGACAAAGAGAGTGGGGCATGAGAGAGTGTATGTAATGAACGGAGCGGACGGCCCAATACAAGGTCCCATAACAACCCATGAAGAAATGGATGCGGTCAGGCCCAGACGAAATCAGAGAATGAGAAGAAGAACCTGGAAGCTGAGGGACCCAACCAAATCAGCATAAAAGGATCAGAGTTGGTTAGAGAGGGATGATTGGTTTTGATTCAGAATCTCTCTCTGTGGTCTTTCTCTCTCCTCGGAGGTTTCTTTCTGTTTTTCTCTCTCATAATCCTTTCGACCCTGTTGCATTACCGATTACGTCGTTGTTGCTTGATATATATTTGTATTGGCTGAGGTTACAACTGTAACAGATTCATTAATAGAAATATACATTCAGCCTCTTGATTTTGTGATCATAACAGATTTGGTGCTTTCGTTGAGAGAGAAACGATGGCTGACAACACTAGAATGAAGGAGCTACAAGCTGAACAGAGGAAAACCAACGAGTTTATTGAAGATTCCAAGGAGCGTTTCAGCAAGATAGAAGGCATGTTCGAGAAAATGATGTTGCGAATGGATGCCATGCATCAGAAGATTGAATCCTCTGGAATACATTCCTGAGAAGGATCGCTTTCATCTGAAATACCCGTTGTGCAACTAGTAGCTTATGTAAGCAAGCGGATTAGGATGGATTTTCCTCGCTTTGATGGAACTGATGCTTTGAACTGGATATTTAGAGCTGAGCAGTATTTCAGATTGTATGAAGTACCGGATGCGCAGAAGCTAATCATCGCCTCGATTCATTTTGACGGGGAGGTATTACCGTGGTTTCAAATGATGGAAAAGGCTAACCGGATTCCTTCATGGTTTGCTTTGACAGCTGCGATGGAGCAACAATATGGTCCCTCGGAGTTTGATTGTGCCTGATCACAACTCTTTAAGCTGACTCAACGAGGTGCATTGGACGACTACCACGAGAAGTTCATTGCCCTTTCCAATCGAACGGAAGGTATTCCGAAGGCGGCCTTACTGGACTGTTACTTAGGTGGGCTAAAATCGGAACTGAAGCGAGATGTGCTGGTGCACAAACCCAATACGGTTCTCAAAGCCATGTCACTAGCCCGTCTCTTCACAGAAGCTAGTGATTACGGATCATCGTCAAAGTCACGTGGCGGGAGTTATGGAGGGGGTAGCTACCAGAGTAAACACGTGAGTAGTAACTCTCAGAACACGGCGAGCTTGACAGTCATTAATAGTGGTGGAGGAAAAACTAATTTGCCCCCTCTACTACCCACACCGAATAGACCCCCAATCAAACGGATAACGCCGGCTGAGATGCAGGTGAGAAGGGAAAAGGGTCTCTGTTATACATGCAACGAAAAGTTCTCCCCGACTCATAAGTGCGCAAACAAGTAGTTAATGATGTTGCAGTGTGAGGATGAACCACTGGAAGAAGTTGAGGTAGAAGCTGATGAGACCTTTATGGAAAGCACGTTACACCACTTATCAGTACATGCGATGAGAGGGACCCAAGGGCTAGCTACAATCCGTTTTAACGGATCGATACAGGGCACCAAGGTACAGATCCTGCTTGACGGAGGAAGTTCGGACAACTTTTTACATCCTCGGATAGTTCAACATCTCCAATTACCAGTGGAGTATACTACAGAAGTTCGAGTGGTAGGGGGACTGGACAAGAAAATAAGAAGGACCAATCAAAGGGTTACAAAGGTCCCAATGTAGATAGGAGAGAATGTTATACCTATGACCATGCTCGTCTTGCCTGTTGTTGGGGTGGATATGATCATGGGGGCCGATTGGTTGGAAACGTTAGGACCCCACGTGGAGGACTACAGCTCGTCCACTATCAAATTCTTATCAAACGGTCACTGGGTAATATTGAAAGGATTCTATGGGAACTCGATTTCATAGGCAAGTGTTCATCACCTCACCCGCCTGCAACAGACCGATGCTTGGGCAAAATGCTTCATGGTAGAACTCATGGACCCTTATATAATGGACATACCCGCTGATGTACCTCCTGATTTAGCTCAGAAATTGTGACATTACAGCTCTGTTTTCCAAAAACCACGCGGATTACCTTCGTCTCAGGGACATGAACATCGAATTGAGCTCCTTCTGGGAACCCAACCAGTGAAGGTTCGGCCATATAGGTACCCGGTAAGCCAGAAGATAGAAATAGAGAAAATGGTAGAAGAATTGTTGTTAGAGGGGATGATCCAGCCTAGTAGTAATCCCTTTTCTGCTCCCGTAATATTGGTCAAGAAGAAGGACGGTACATGGCAATTTTGTATTGATTATCGAGCTTTGAATGCCGTAACCGTTAAGGACACTTTTCCAATGCCCACTGTAGATGAACTAATCGATGAATTACATGGGTCTATGTATTACTCGAAACTAGACCTTAGATCGGGGTACTACCAGATTTTGATGAGAGAGCAGGACAGGGAGAAGACAGTGTTCAGGATACACCAAGGGTTATATGAATGGATGGTTATGCCCTTCGGGCTCACCAATGCACCAGCAACATTTTAGGCACTTATGAACTCCCTCTTTAAACCATATCTGCGGCGCTTTGTGCTCATTTTTTTTGACGACATTCTGGTTTATAGTGCCACCTGGGAGTTGCACCTGGATCATGTAGAGATTGTACTAGACACACTGGCTAGACACCAGTTATTCGCTAAAATGACCAAGTGTGTATTTGGGCAATGCCGTATTGATTACTTAGGACATGTCATATCAAAGAAGGGAGTAGAAATGGACGAGTCCAAGATAACAGCTATTAAGCAGTGGCCAGTTCCACAGAATGTTACACAACTAAAGGGGTTCCTGGGACTAAGTGGCTATTACCGACGGTTCATTCAGGGGTACGCTCAAATTGCAGGCCCTTTGACAAAATTACTGACCAAAGATGGGTTCCGATGGAATGATGAGGCCCACCTGGCTTTTGAAACTCTAAAAGAAGCGATCGTCCATGACCCAGTGTTAACTCTACCAGATTTCTCCAAACCATTTGTGTTGGAAATAGATGCTTCAAGGGTGGGAATTGGGGCCATGCTTAGTCAGGAGGGATGACCTGTCGCATTTTTCTCAAAAAAATTATCCACCAAGATGCAAGCACAATCGGTGTATGTCCGAGAGCTGTTTGCAATCACAGAAGCTGTCGCTAAGTTCCGTCAGTACCTCTTTGGCCACTATTTTGTGATTTGCACAGATCACTCTAGCCTGAAGCATCTAGGCAACCAAGTGATCCAGACTCCAGAACAAGAGGCATTCCTACCCAAGTTGCTCGGTTACCGATTTGACATTCAGTATAAACCAGGAAGGCATAACCAAGCCGCAGACGCTCTGTCCTGAGTTTCTTGCATGGCTCATTCTTCATTACAGAACATGTTCATGGACAGGGTGTACGAGAAGGTGCGTACCTCAAACTGGATTCAAGAATTAAAGAACAAGATTATGCGAGATCCATCTATGACAAGTGACTATCAATTGAAGCAAGCCAATTTATATTGGAGGAACCGATTGGTGATCCCTCATGATGTCCCTGAACTAATTAACGACATCCTATATGAATTCCATGCTTCGGTCTTAGGAGGACATGCTGGGTATTTCCGCACTTTTCATCGAATTGCCCAGTTGTTTTACTGGCCTCGGATGAGACAGAGTGTGCGCCAATATGTGCGATATTGTACTGCCTGTCAACAAGCTAAGGTGTCTCAGCTGCATCCCGCAGGGCTATTGGACCCACTACCCATCCCGGAAAGAATCTGGGAAGACATTGCTCTAGATTTCATTACCGGACTACCACCAGTGAAGGGACACTCTGTTATTATGGTCGTGGTGGACCGATTGTCAAAGTATGGTCACTTCATATCATTACCGGCTACTTTCACGAGTCATATGGTAGCGGAGGCTTTCCTCCAAAATGTTGTCAAGCTGCATGGGATCCCAAATACCATTGTCTCTGATCGAGACCGTACTTTTACAAGTCCTTTTTGGCGTCACTTGATGAGGTTGCAAGGCTCCACTCTCTGTTTTTCGTCAGCTTGCCACCCAGTCAGACGGTCAAACAGAAGCACTCAACAAAAGCCTCAAGCTCTATCTCCGGTGCTTTATGCATGAGCATCCACGACAGTGGCTGTAGTATTTGCCATGGGCGGAATATTGGTACAATACCTCATTTCAGACAGCGATTGGCATGGTTCCTTTTAAGATCATGTATGGAAGGGATGCCCCACCAATATTACGGCATACCACTCAAGAAGATACACCAAAAGATGTCTACCAACAGCTCCAGCAGAGGGATGAGATATTGGAAACACTTAAGAAAAACTTACAGCGAGCTCAAGAAAACATGTGATACTATGCTAATCAGAAACGAATAGAAATCGAATTTCTGGTGGGGGACTTAGTTTGGGTTAAACTTCAACCGTACCGACAGCACTCAGTCGAACTTCGAAAATACCAGAAACTTGCTTTACGATAGTTTGGCCCATTCCGTGTTCTGGAGCGCATCGGTAAGGTCGCTTATAAATTAGAGTTGCCTGCAAACGCTAAGATCCATCCCGTTTTTCATATTTCTCTTCTGAAGAAATTCGTCGGGAACAATGAGTTACAGCCATCAATTCCCCTTCCTTTATTATCTATGTCGGAAGGACCTGTGGTACAGCCTGAAATTATTCTGGGTACACGTTTCGTCCAACGAGGCGACAAGTGGGTGCAGCAGTGCTTGGTTCAGTGGAATGGCCCCACCCTAAATTCGTGGGAAGATAGAGATCAGTTGTTGAACTTGTATCTTGACTTGGACCTTGAGGACAAGGTCCTGGTTAATGGGGGGAGTGATGTAATGAACGGAGCGGACAGCCCAATACAAGGTCCCATAACAACCCATGAAGAAATGGATGCGGTCAGGCCCAGACGAAGTCAGAGAATGAGAAGAAGAACCTGGAAGCTGAGGGACCTAACCGAATCAGCATAAAAGGATCAGAGTTGGTTAGAGAGGGATGATTGGTTTTGATTCAGAATCTCTCTCTGTGGTCTTTCTCTCTCCTCCGCGGCTTCTTTCTGTTTTTCTCTCTGATAATCCTTTCGACCCTGTTGCATTATCGATTACGTCGCTGTTGCTTGATATATATTTGTATTGGCTGAGGTTACAACTATAACAGATTCATTAATAGAAATATACATTCAACCTCTTGATTTTGTGATCATAACAGTGTATAGTGATACCAGATGGAGACATAAGTACCAACTTCGAACCCCTCATTAATTTCTCCATCGACCAAAGTACATAATATAAAGCGTGATTTTAGGATCACAATCGTGTAATTGTGTCTTGAATACTAATGGTATGTGTGAGCGTGATGATTATTTTTATAGTTAAGCGTAAATATTTTGTACATTTTAGTTAAATTATTTTAATTATAGTTAGTCTAATTCCAGTTTGAATTATTGTCTTGACCGGTTTAATGACCTGTTTAGTTTTCAATATCTTATTTAATTTATAAATTAATATACATAAGAATATTTTAGAAAGATGTATTAGAATTAGATACTACCTTCGGTTTTTAATATAAGAGCTAGTTTGACTTGTAATTTGATTCTAAATATAATATCTCAATCCATTTTGCTTTTAATATTTATCTTCTTCTTTTTTATCAAGTAATCCCTATATATGTTGCATATGATAAGGAGTTACTATCAATTGGTAATTCAAACACACATAACTAATAAGGTCATTTTATAAACAATAACATCTATTTGTTACAGATAACTAATTTAATTAAATTTTTTAATCTTTTCAAATTAATCAACGAGGTCTTATATTAAGGGTCGGAGGTAGTAATTTATTTAGTTTTTTCTTATATGTCAAAGCCAGATACATAGCTGTTATATTTATTCATAGAAAAATATTTCAAAGTATGTTTTGCAGACGGTCATCCAAATAAATGCTAAAATAATTTCCACCTTATTATCGTTCACTTTCAAGTAGTAAAGTAGACTGCCTATTTTTTTTAAAAGAAGTTTTGTTTGGTCTTTTACTTTGACCCATTCACACCTTTTCATTGTTTAGATTGAAGTTTCAGTTGTTTGGGGTCTTTGTTGTTTAACATTTGGCGTACGTGAATGAGAGATTGCAAACTAAATTAATTCTCGTCATATTTCTTTTTTGAATAAAGAAAATTACCTCCCTTCTTGTGAATATTTAGAGGATAATAGAACGTTAAAAACTGCACATCTATATATAATGGGCTACATTCTAGCCATCAGGTATTAAAAATGAGTACATATGGAGAACATAAAGGATATATGCAGCATAACTGGATTCGTGGCCGCTCCCTCAGTCTTGCACGCTCTCTGTTATTACAAACTTAGTAGGAAAAGCATAGTAATTGACTACTTCAAGGAACTTAACAACATTCATATGCTTGAAGGATCCATTTTGGTCCATCCTCACTACAGCCCAGCTGTTAAGCTTTGAAAGCAGCATGTGTGGAAGCCAGAGTAGCGAATCTTGTACAACCTTGGGTTTTCTTGTATTTGCCGAACATGCTTTGTCGCCCTACAACCTTGATCATCCCTGTATATGCACCACCAGTATTTTCTGCCAATACTACAATCCCAAATAATATATGAATCCATGAGATTGTTTAAATATAATGTCTATAAATTTCACATTAACATCCAATGTCCTAGTCGGGAGCAATAAATTAAGGTAGATAGATTTATTATCCCAGAAAAAATTGCATTTATATAAGTCAATATAATCCTTTAATCTGTACAGTTTATGAAATTACCTTGGGTGTGTCCTACTGAGGATCGTCTTCTCACCATACTCCTCCCATTCATGAAAATCTTTTGCACTCGGTAACACCACCGTCCATGTTGGTTGAATATTGCTGCAGCAGATTCATCGTCCAATCAGATTATGCTTTGATATTTTAAGAAAACCAATAGGAAAATCTACGGATGATTCTGGGTAATAAATTATTTAGTCAGATCCATTTTCGGATAAATTGAGATTAAAAAAACAATTATGCTTTATAAAATAAAAAAATAAATAAAATACCCTAGAATTTGTTAAAGAACAAATAAGTGCGGGCAAATTTCCAAATCCTAATTCAGACATCTTGTATCATTTTAAAATTTTTAAATCTTACAAAATTACACAAATGTCCTTCACTATTCTTTTTTTAAATATTGCCACTGTAGCACTCTTAGCCAATTTTAGGCTACCGGAGTTCTGACGCCCGTGACCGACGCCCGTGACCTTGTGGGTGGCTAGCCGCTAGAACTTCGATGACTGCTCTTTTTTATGCTTTGACTTTATTTGTTTTTAGAGCTCCGATGATTACTCTTGTTTAGCTACTGACTGTTCTAGTATTGTGATTGACTACTCTAGTTTCATTTCAAAAATTCAAAAAATGCATTAAATGTTGTTGGAAATCTAGTTGTTATTTTTTGTTTAGTTATTTACTACTCTTGTGCAATCAATAACTATATAAAAGTAGTCACCAAAACTTTGAAAATAAAAGTAATCAATAGTTAAATTAAAGTAGTCAATAACTATATGAAAGCAGTCATCGGGAATAATGATAGTGTTGTCATTTCATAATATTTTAATATTTTAAAATACTGCAAAGAGTCTGATTTGAGATTTTGAAATTCATTCACCCTAATTTATTCTTTAGCATTTTTGAAAGTATTTTGATGTCTTTCTTCCTATAAAATACTAGTACTAATAAGATGTCATCGTATACAATGGGGTGGCAACTTTTGTGAAGTAAAGGTTAGGAAAAACTATTTCGATACGTTTGACAATAATATTGTTAACACTGTTGAAATTCTCTCCTCACTTTAATTATATATCTTTTATATCTAAAAATGATTATTCTGTGTTCTATATACTACCTCTGTTACCTAATATAAAACCCAATTGATTAATTTGAAAAGATTAAAAAAATTAGTTAAATCTGTTATTTATAATAGATATGTGTTTTCTTCTCTAAAACACCCTTATGAATCATGTGTGTTAGTTAAATTATTATTTAATGAAATATTTAACATGCGCAACTATTGCAGAGATTATTTTATTAAAAAAATAGATAAATATGAGAGACAAAATAAATTAAAACCTTGTATTTAGGACCAACTTAAATATCAAACCAGTTCTTATATTAAACACAGAAGGCAGCATATTTAAAGAAAACTAATATTTTCCTTTGCCGCCTGTTTCAGAGGGAAAAATGTAACGATGATTATTTAAATTTGTTTCGAAACTAGAACATAATTAAGAAAAATTGATGCACAGACTTGGTCAAAAAAGATATTTTTTAAAAAAAATTAAGGTATAGCGATTGATCTTAACTGCATTTCTTAACTCACATGAAATCCTCATTTTTTTTAATCATATAATTCACGCATTTATTGCCTTTTATTTAAACTCACAATCTCATGTTTAGAAAAATTCATTACGTTGCGAGAGAGATGGGCCCACCCTTTTCATGGCATGAGAACCTTTCTGAGGCGGCAAGCAAGGACGTATAGATTTTACGATGTCTGAGAATAGATTTTGTGTTCTCTCTTAGCAAAATTTGTCTAGTCAACATCCGTTACGCGTTTTCTCTGACTGCTACAAAAAATTGTTAATATAGAAAAGAAAAAACTATTTTGGGTACCTATATTTTTTTATTTTTAATTTAGTATCTATGTATTTTTTCTCTTAATTAAATATTTAATTTTACGTTATTAACATCTTTAACTCTTACATAGAAACTAAAAATACTAATAGAACAAAGTTATAAGAGCTCATGTTGTTAAAAAAAAATTAAATTATTTAATTAAGGAAAAAAAACACAGATATCAATTTAAAAATTAAGAGAAAGTATAGGTACCTTCAATATGGTTTTTTTTTCCAAAAATTTATTTAAAAATAAGGTAAAATTATACAAACTTTTCTTAAACTTTATGTCATATGTCAATCATCTGATTAACTTTTGAAACTTTATCATAATCATGTCTCACTTTAACAATATCATTATTTATTTGCTAATAGTGACTTAAATTTTAAAAAAATTTATCTAAACATAACTCAAAATTTGAGAAGATTATAGTCATGCAGAAATAACATCTAAGAAATATAAACTTCATAGTTTGGGATTACATGTATATTCTTCGAAGTTTGGAGATTCCATTAAATTCTAATTACAAGTTATTAAGAAAAATTATATACACCCGAGAATTTTATGCAATTTGAAGTTAGAATAATAAAAAAATGGATGCAACTCTAAATCATATACTTTGAGGCTACGCAATCTTGCTGTGAGGCGATTAAACAAGCCCTGGATTTGTATTGTTTTTGGTCGGGAAAAGAATTAAATCATACTAAATCTTCATCAATTTTTAGCCCAAATATTCCTCACGATCTGAAAATTCAGTTGTCAAGCTTCATGCAAGTTTGTTTTTCTGCTCGACTAGCTACGAACATATTTGGATACTTTAGATATTTTGGCAGGAATAAATCTCACATCTGCAACCATGTTCTTTCTACAAGATTAAAAGTAGAATTGTAGCTTGGAAAGCTCACCTTCTCTTGTCTGTATCACTACAAACAAGAAAAAAATAGTGAACTACCAATATTAGTGCCTCTGATCGAGGTTATGGATTTTGTGGCAAAGCAGGTACTTAATTACTGCTCCTGATTAATTAAGGAGAAAATGATAATAAAATACCTTCTGAATTTCAAAATGACAAATAAGGCATCCGAATAAACAAAATGACAAATAAGGCATTAAATATCAATTTGAAATTTTGATTTTTGATCTCAAAACATGTTGCAAAACCCATTGAAAAAGTAGTGACTCTCACTATGAAAGTTATAAATCCCACTATATGTTTTCGTAAAATTCAGCGTGGAATTATATTAGTTTTTTTTATAGAGAAGTTGCCCAACCCCTCAAAACAGGTTGTAAAACCTATTGATCAAGTATTAAATCTCACTATAAAAGTTGTAAATCTCATCATGTGTTTGTAAAATTCAGCAAAACTTGCCCAGCCCTTCAAAACATGTTGCAAAACCCATTGACGAAGTAGTAACTCTCGCTATGAAAGCTGTAAATCCCACTATGTGTTTTGTAAAATTCAAAATCAAAATTCCAAATTGGTAGATGATGCCATCTTTGTCTTTTTGTTTATTTGAATGCCTTATTTACCTCTTCATTTAGAATCCACGCAGTTATTAGTTCTATTGTAAAAAACAACTGATTATCTGAAATACCCTTACAGATGTGTCATGTTAATAATTGGGAATTGAATTGTGCCTGTACTTGGTTCCCAGAATCTTAAGTTATTAACTAAGCTTTGTTGCTGGCTGCACTGCCACCAAATTCATTCTCCTTGATTTATTTGTTGCTTTTCAGCCTCTGCAACACAAGAGCTACGAGTAAGCAAACACTTCTTCTCCATGCCGATGGAAAGAAACACAGGGCAAAAGCTCGGGCATTCCATGCTGCAAAGCAACAACCAACTCAGATGGGCGCATCTTCTCCGGATGCAAAGCTTCCAGTGGAGCAAGCTTCCAATGATAAGGTCCAACTCAACAATAATGGACAGCAGACAAAATTGCAAGATCCATCTGAACACAATAACTTGAAATCGGGGAATGAAATCTCTCAATCAAATAAAAAGAGGAAATCTGATGTGGCGGAGGATGACCCTAACAGGAAAAAGGGCAGGGATGACAATTCAGGTGAGTTGGGAAATGGGGAAGTAGTTCAGGCTGAAGGAGCAGAGGCTGGGAGAAAAGAAGATCGTTTGAAGAAAGAAACGATGGTTAATGACAAGAAGAACAAAAAGTGGAAGAAGTTTATCAAATCAGCGTTGAAATCTGTAAGTATCTGTGGATTCAGAGTGATATGTGTGCTTATTTTGTGTTTTATTTTGGACGATGCGCAGTTCTTATCCTCATAGTGAGCTTGAGATTGTATGCATGGACCTTCTGTCCTCTCCGATGAATTTCCTTTAAATATGCCTTTTCCGAGTGAGGGGTAAATTTTAGCTAATTTAGTTTGCCTATGTTTTGTACGCCTGTTGTGCACTTACATGTGCTTTCTTTTTCCTGGGAAGCAGCATCCTGACGGAAAATTGAAGATGAAGAAGTTGAGAAAACATGTCTTGAAAGCCTTGCAGGAATCTGGCGTTGAAGTTGATGAAACTGAACTTAGTGAGGCACTTGAGCATAAGGTTGGCCCATTCGATTGTATTTATGTTCATTTATCTCTTCCCAATTACATCTGTTTCTTATGAAATTTCGTATGGTGATAGATCAATTCGAGTTCCAGATTTGCAGTTGAGAAGAAGTATGTGCGGTTGGTGGCCAAGGATGGTGACTAGTTGCAACCTTATAAGCTGGAATCCCTGGCTTTTATTTGGTGATATTTTGCTATTGTTTAGACGTTAATTGATATCGTTTAGAATTGAAAGGAGGCGGGTCCATTTTTGCGTCTAAACCTACTGAGGAAGTGAAGGAGGACGAGGTTGTTTTAATTTATTTTTCAAGCCTCCCCCGTCTCCCTTTACAAAAAAATTTTGCGGGAACAAATTGATCATTATTATTTAATTGTATTCAGTTGTTGTATAAAATGATTTTGAATCACTGAAAGGAAATTTCCTTTGTTGTTTATTGTTTATTATCACCATTGTTATGATATTTTTTTTATTTTTAAATTCAGTAAAATTTTAAGATGATTTTAATTAAATGAAGAGCGCAAATAAGTTTTAAAAAAAAAATCATCATGGCCAGGATATTATTAAATTCTTATCGACTTTTTTTTTGTTTTTTTGGGGGGGGGGGGGGGGGGGGATCACTCATGACTAGGCAAATCATGCGCCCTTGAAATTGAGTTCTTGCTTCTTACGGCTTGCGCAATGGCATGCTTCCGAGGGATTACTGACTTGGCCGAAAGTTCCTATATCGATTCTAAAGAGAGAAATAACATCCGCGTCTTAGTTTCGCTTGATGCATTATATTCCTCTGGTTCTAAATATATGATACTTTTTATAGTGTAATTTTATACTACAAAAGGAATCCTATATTTAAGACTAGAGGAATACATATTTTTACAAGGATATAAAGTGGAATGAGGGGCTACCGGTAGATATAAAACTTATTTGATTTTTATTTTAGTTTTAGATATAAGACTTCAATTTATTTTCTCTTATATTTATTTAATTTTTTTTAAGATAGTACTTCTAATAATAATAATTCTAGTTCATAAATTTGATTGGTAAGGATATTTTAAGAAAGACAACACATGTTTATTATAAATAACTAACTTAATTTATTTTTTTAATTTACTTAAATTAGTCAACTAGTTTTTATATTTAGGATTGAAAGTAGTAATAGATATCGTTTCGTCTCGATAGAAAAAGGGAAACGAATATTTTTCTCCTTCATATCAGAAATAATTAAGCACGAAAAACCTTTGGGGAAATCACAAATAAAGACCCTCGAATTAGCAAAATCACTCTATGGTCACCTGAATATGCTAAATTACTATGAGGGACCCGGTCTCAAATTGTAATTATGAAATCATGGCCAAATTACCAAAATACCCCTCTTTAATTTTTTTTTTTAAAAAAGAAAGCCACTGCCTCACTGGAATCCGGCCACCGGCGCCGGAGCTCCGGCGGCCGCTTCCGGCCACTGTCGGCGGCCGGACGCCGGGGTCCGGCCGCCGGAGCTCCGGCGCCGGCAGCCGCTTCCGGCGGTCTTCCTTTGTTTTTTTTTTTGAAACTGTTTTTTTTTTTAATTGGGGGGAAGTGAGGTTGGGGGGATTTGATCCCCCAACCTAATGCTTCCCAAAATAAGGAATGACCATTGAGCCAACAAATTTTTGTTAACATTATGATGCAAAAAAAAAAATATAAGTTAACTCATTTACTCTTGTTCCAGGTGATAACAACAATACATTTGGAAATAACAAGTTCTGATTGTAAAATAACACGTCTGGAATAAAAATTTAACAATATGTTTTTTTTATAACAATATATTTTGTTGCAGGCAATAACAACAATACATTTAAAAATAACAAGTTCTGATTATAAAATAACAAGTTTGGGATTAAAATTTAACAACACGTTTTTTTTTATAACAATACACTTTGTTTCAAGTGATAACAATAATACATTTAAAAATAACAAGTTCTGATTATAAGATAATAAGTCTAGGATTAAAATTTAACAACACGTTTTTTTATAACAATTAATTATTTTATACTTTTAAAAAATAAATTATTTATAACTTATAAAAAATATTTTTAATATATTTATTTCTCTAAAAAAATACTTTTTAATCTGTATATCTATAGAACTCATTATAAATCAAACTACTTCTTATAAATTATAAAGTATTTATAATAAGGCATTTTTGATTTATTAATCAGAGTATAAATTTTATATTATTTCATTCTTTAAATATTAAAATAGTTTTTATATTTAAAGAATAAAATAGTATTTTTAATTATAAATTAGAGATAAATTTCATTTATAAATTTAAGCAGTCAAAAAGTACTTTTAATCTACAATAAATTGTACTATTTATAATTTATAAGAAGTAGTTTGATTTATAATAAGTTGTATAGATATATAGATTAAAAATTTTTTAAAAGAAATAAAAAAGTGTGTTGCCATTTTCCCTAAATTTTATTTATAAATTTGAACAATAAAAAAGTATTTTTAATCTATAAAAAATTATACTTCAAGTTTGATTATAAATTGGAGATAAAAATTATTTTTTTAGAAAATTAAATAGATTACAAGTACTTTTATAAGTTATAAATAATTTATTTTCCAAAAGTATAAAATAATTAATTGTTATAAAAAAAGGTGCTGTTGAATTTTAATTCCAGACTTGTTATTTTATAATCAGAACTTGTTATTTTCAAATGTATTGTTGTTATCACTTGAAACAAAGTGTGTTGTTATAAAAAAACATGTTATTAAGTTTTAATCCCAAACTTATTATCTTATAATCAGAACTTGTTATTTTTAAATGTATTGTTGTTATCACTTGAAATAAAGTGTGTTGTTATAAAAAAAAAACGTGTTGTTAAATTTTAATCCCAAACTTGTTATTTTATAATCAGAACTTGTTATTTTTAAATGTATTGTTGTTATTGCCTGCAACAAAATATATTGTTATAAAAAAAACATATTGTTAAATTTTATTCCAGACGTGTTATTTTACAATCAGAACTTGTTATTTCCAAATGTATTGTTGTTATCACCTGGAACAAGAGTAAATGAGTTAACTTATATATTTTTTTTTGCATCATAATGTTAACAAAAATTTGTTGGCTCAATGGTCATTCCTTATTTTGGGAAGCATTAGGTTGGGGATCAAATCCCCCCAACCTCACTTCCCCCCAATTAAAAAAAAACAGTTTAAAAAAAAAAAACAAAGGAAGACCGCCGGAAGCGGCTGCCGGCGCCGGAGCTCCGGCGGCCGGACCCCGGCGTCCGGCCGGCGACAGTGGCCGGAAGCGGCCGCCGGAGCTCCGGCGCCGGTGGCCGGATTCCGGTGAGGCAGTGGCTTTCTTTTAAAAAAAAAAAATTTAAAGAGGGGTATTTTGGTAATTTGGCCATGATTTCATAATTACAATTTGAGACCTGGTCCCTCATAGTAATTTAGCATATTCAGGTGACCATAGGGTGATTTTGCTAATTCAAGGGTCTTTATTTGTGATTTCCCCAAAACCTTTTTGTTTTTTAAATTGAAAAAAAGCAGAAGCCTTGAGGTAGTTTTCTTAATTCTACATATTTTTCACGTCAACAATATAAACGGATAAACGGGAAAATGGCATGAAAAATGATTGTTGAATTTAAAATTTTCAAATTATGACCTCAAAATAAGAAAAATTCTCCTCTTCATACATGATTAAATAGAGATTTTGGTTTTTTAAAAAAAATTATAAAAATCCCCCTTACTGCCCTTCGGCATATCCAGCATCTTGAACTATTTTTTTCTAGCGTATATCCAGTATTCGAAAGTATTTTGTGATGTATCTAGCATCCTAAAGTAGTTTTCAAGTGCTTTGAAAGTATTCTTTTGCCTTAAAATGCATTAAAAAGATATTTTAGGGTATTAGACGTATTTAAAAAATATTTCAAAGTGTTGGATGTACTTGAAAAAAATATTTTGGAGTATTGGATGAACCTGAATCCTTAAATGAATTTAAAGGTTAGACTGGTCAACCCGCCATAATTTTTGAACAAGTTCATGCAAATTTGAAAAATGCAATTAACTGTATCAAATCCACAAAATTAAATAAATAATATAGCATAGATGACAAAATATGAATATATTATCTACAAAGTAATAATAAAATAGAGATGAAAATCATTAAAGTAATAATTATATATAAATAAAATTAATATAAAATTTAACACGGATAAATAACAAAATATTTGAATATCATGACCTCCATATTTGATTAAAAAATACAAATTAGAAAAGGCGAATCCACAAGTTAAGTGGGTTGGGCTAAACTTGGTTCATTTTCGAATGGGTTGCAATTTTTACAACCAATCCAAGTTAAAAAGTTAGGCCCATGTACGTTGAAAATTCTATAAATTTAAGTGAAAATATCTTGATATGGAAAACACAGATATTAATTTTTTTTACATATTTTAATTTTTTTGAAATTTTATTTTAATATAAATAATATTTTTGTTTCAATTTCTTAAACTGTTGTCATTGAGAGATTATGAACAAATTCCTTCAAAGACGGCAGTTTCCCTTTTCTATGAATAAGTATAGCTTGAATAAGATATAAAACAAATTAAAGTTGAAAGAACTAAATTAAAACATGAGCCAGAAGACCAGATCTACGTAAGGTTAAAGGGTGTTCTGTCAAAGTGGATTGCAAATCAACAGACCACTTACTCCGCAAGAATACAAGGTTGCCAAATATCTCCTACGAAATCAAGAGTGAAAAATTTAGCATCAAACATAATCAAATGAATATATCTCACAGGAAGCACATGATGTGTGCTCAGCCACAAACTAATGCATGTGATTATTTATTACAAATGTCATATAAACATCTTTGTTTTTGTTGGTTTTGAAATATGTCTTTCTTCTTCAGCTACGCAATGAAATTCATAGGACTCTTAACCAAACTCAGTGGGCTGGTGATACATGAATATCTATACAGGCTGGAGACTTACGAGATACAGAAATGGATCCCAAGGCCCAGATATTAGCACTTGTAGAGCAAGGCAAGGAGACGACAGGCCTGCTCATAATCTGCACCATGTGTTCACTCACTTTCCTTCCTCTGGGATCCTACGTTGTGTTTTTTGAATCCCATGTCTTATATTAATTACTACCTATGTTTCTTATTATTTTCTCTCTTATCTTAGATGTAAGATCTATTTTCATTACAAAATAAATTTTATATTTAGGATTGGAGGAGTAAAAGTTTATTTAACTTTTAATTTGATCTTAAATATAATACTTTAATCCATTTTTTTTCATATTTA